AGGACTTGGGACCTGGCAACGACAGTGTTAAATATTTTGTGCATTTCAAGCATTCCAATATCTCCCTATAAACTTCTTTATTTATTTCAGCCATTTTTCTCTTTCATAAATGATTGTTATCAATATAAATTAAGAGCAATACTTAAATTTTTAGAGAAGATGGTGATGGTGTGTGGATTTCAAGTGATCCTCGGCCGCGGCTACGATGGTGGTGTCTACGACGAAGGCAGTGGGCTAGAGGTTGAGGCAGTTGAGAGGAAGTTGTTGCAGCTTTGGAGCGCAAGAGGGCATGATTTTTTTTAAGCTTTTGTATTGGATTTAGCTAAGTTTTAAATAAAAAACATACATAAATAAAGTGAGGCGTATGCCTCATGCCAACGAGGCGAGGCGCGTCTCAAGGTGGGCCTCAACCAAGATGAGGCGTAAGCCTCATAAAAAAAAAATCCGAGGCGTAAGCCTCGAGGTGTTTTTCACTGAAATTGCGTTAAGGCGGGCCTGTAGGCTACTTTTTGTGTGCATTACGAAGTCCCTGCTCCTGCTGTCAGGTGGATTATAACATTGTAAGTTGATTGATATTGCATGTAAGCAGGCTAATATGTTTGATATGAACCCCTTGATCTCACCTGTAAACTAATTATTGTGAGTACTATGAATTTCCTACTTCTACTCACTGGTGAATTGTAGACTTGTAGTGCCATTCCACTCCCATGTTTCCTTCGATGGGTTATACATGCTTGCAGGCGGTATATGTGTTCTTTGCAGGTTGATTGATATTGCCTGTAGGCAGGCTATACTCACTACAACTCATGTTTTTTATTGTAGACAGGCTATATTCATACAAATATCCCATCTTTGCCCATAAGCATGCTACTGTGTTCATTGAAATTTCTCAATATATGCCCCTAGGAGAACTATCAAACTCATTGCATGTTCACTATTATTATCTGTAGGTGGATTGTTGCGCACTTCAATTACCCAATTTTTTCAGTTGTAGGCAAGCTATAACATTCATTATAAGCCCTTATTAACGCTCGTAGGCAAATAATTACATTGCAAGGTTCCTATTTTTACTTGTAGACATGCTGTCATATTATAAGTTCTTTATTCATGCTTGTAGACATGTTATTGGATGTTGCAAGTCCCCTGCTCAGCCCTTTAATTTATGAATTTTATTTAATTATAAGTTAACTTAAATGTTCATTTAGGTCTGGTTCCTTGTTAGTTCATTTAAGTCTTCTTTTTCGTTGCATTTTTAACTGTGTAGGTTACTTTTCAAAGTTTCTAATTCTAGTTATTATTTAGATGAAATTTCGACCGCCTCCTAGCATCTCCCCCACGTGGGGAGAATTTTGGAGAGCTAGACTTTCTCACCACGCTACGAAAAATGTGTATGATAGGTGTCAGGTGACATGGTTGTCGATATCTTCAATCTATCACACTACGAAAAGTGTATATGTGTATTCGAAGTACCAGCTTGAAAGCTTGCAAATTTTACCACAAGATAGAACCACGTACAAAAGTATTTAGGAGTGTCCCTGCCATGCTATGAAAAGCGCATACGAGGCCCACCCGCTTTATCGCTAACATCGCCTTCGAACTTCCTTATGTCGTTATTGACATGCGTATAAAAGCCAGCATTCGTACCTGAAATCCCGCTGAACTCATGCGCAAATCCTGCAAACCACTGTATACGCGGCGCTGAATCATGTTTGATTACGAGGAGTTTAAGTTTAACATCAAATAAATGAAGGGGAGATTTAAAAGTCAGAACTTGAGTTTGCATTTGGATTCAAATTGATTTGAAGGTTAAATGAAATGAACTCGGATCGGACTTAGCACTTGAACTGAGATCAAACTTGAATCAGCTCCGGACCACAGTGGACTTGAACTAAATACACTTGAACTTAAACTCGAACTTGATATGACGTGGGCAATTTGGACTCAAGTTCAAATGAACAGAACCATGTTTGGATATTGAACATGAATACAAGCAAGAACTTGCAACCCGACAGTTAAAGATCAATCCCCTTGTGGAAGAATACACTGATCCCTTGCAAGTGAACGGTGGTCGATCCGCATCAAATGCAACCACTAACAAGTTGTCGTAGGATACTTGTTACGTAGAAGACATGTATCCCCTGCAAATAAAGAGGTCAATGAATGAATGAAGGTCATTCATTAAAATCCCAAATAGAAGTGAAATGTCGGTTCACTCACAAGTAACAATACGAACTCCTACAAGTCACTACAGAAGATCTGCAATACATATAATCTTTCTACGAATACGGATGTATGTATAACATGCCATTTATGGTCGGGTAGATGTTGAAAGACTTCAGTAAATGCAGTATCCTGAAGTCAATTTCAGCCTATAAATGAAGACATCTACCTACCTACATGTAGCGGTTGCGGATGTACTGAAAAGATCAAAGACCACAACAAAATGCATGGAGGATACGACAAGTGCAAGCAAATACAAATATAAAGCATGAGACTCGTTAGTGTACTACAATCTACCTGCATATATCATGCAAGTAGTGCACGACAGTCTACCTGTACAAAACAGCAAACAACTGATCTAGAAGCTGCTACGCCACGCCACCGGATCCGCAATATCCATGCAAGCGGACAGAAGACGTTTACAAATATTTTTAGAATACCCCTACACGTGTACCGTAGTTTGTATACATATAGGTACACAAAAGAGGTAAATGTAATCTTAAACCCGCATGGGCCCCGACAAGTGTGTTATTAGTACACACTTGACGTCTAGGGATGCTACGTAGGCTATTAAATATGAACCCGATCCTTCTAAGCAAGTAGGAGTCGACAAGGTTCAATAAAAAATTACGAAACGCCCCCAAACACCCTCATGGGCCCCGACGAGCGTGTTATTGGTACACACGTGACGTCTAGGGATGCTGTGCGGGTCAATAAGTGAATTCAAGTTCGAACCCGATCCTCTTAAACAGATCAATAGGAGTCGACAAGGTTCGAACCAACAAACAAATATGTGGCCGTGGCGACCAGAATATTTGTTTTAATACATTCATATTAGGCCTTCAAAGCCTAAAATCAAGAGGATTCACTCTCAAAGGCATAAAGCCTATGAAACCCGATCCTCTGTCGACAGCCAGATAGAGGCGACAAGGTTCAAGCTTTAAATGGAAATAATCCTTAACACCCCGATGATGGCCGTGTTGAATGCAGATCTCAACTGGAGGGTTAATTCAAATGCTTTCAAGTATCTTCCAAGCTCCACCCAAAATCCTAGAAAATTCCAAAAATCTCAAAATCCCAAAAATATTTAAAATGAAATAAATCCATCAACCCACTTAAAGCAAAATTTATCCGCCATCCGCAATAGTTTGCTGAGGCGGACAAAATTCAAATACTACTTCAGCTCACAAAGAGCCAAATGCCTAATCGAAAATATCAGTAGGATCAATTCTCAAAACAGTCTCCTGCCAGTAAGGATGTGGAATGTGTCCTATAACCGGCAATTTTGCCGTCAAATGGCACTGCAGGTAAACGGTTATGACCCGGGGCCCTCTGAACCGAGTGATTTTGACGCCAAATGGCACCACGGAATACAGGTTATGGCCAGCGCCAATATGCTCCTTATTGACATCAAATCCTTGAGATATGAATCAATAGGATATGATCGATAGGGCACAAAGCCCTCTGTTAGCTAAGGTGGATTCAAATTTGTCCCCTTAGACAAATATTCAACCCAGGTCTACAAGGTCCCCTTGGACGAAGCAACCCATGACTGCCGACAAGGATCCTTCTGTCAGGTTGGGTCGACTACCTCCTCTGACTAAGTAGACCAGGGACCACGATGGCCCGGGACGACGGAACCTTGGGATCCTGATCGGGTCCATCATCCATTCCCCCACCATCCGCTTTAAGTGCAAGATGGTGAACTTTCCAATTTTAAATATCAAACCTTCAAATTTTCAAATATCAATCATTCAAATTCCCAAACTTCTAAACACTTCAAATCCATGCCTATTGCTGCTACTATATGCCAGATAACACGTATACACTACATATTTGATTGACGACTAGCCTTAATCGAAAGTTCTCTCTTGTGATCGGGAGGGGTAATTAACTATAGGGGCTTGCGCCTATAGGAAACCAGAACTCAGATCAGAAAGTCCTCGCAAAATGAGGGCGAAATCTCTGGGTAGTGTCTTATCTACAAGCCCATCTGCCTTCCAAAATTTACCTCGGAACTTATATCAGTTAAAACTCCCTCGCCGAATAAAAAGAAACGCGGAGTGGAGGCCGGGGCCGAATTTTCGGAGCCCACAGTCGTGCTTCGAAAAGCACGTACAGGGGGTTGCACATTACATCGTAAATGTCGACAACGGGATTTGAGGAGTTTTTTTAAAGTTTAGCGAGCTTTATACCTTTGCGAGCAAGAGGCGGCGACGACAACAGTGTTGAGGGATTGAAACACAACAAATCTCTCTTTTTTAATCTCTCTCCCTTTTTTTCTTTGTTGATTTTCTATTTTTTTTAACTGATAACAATAATATAATACTGCTAGTAAAGAGGGAAATAATCTCTGTTAGAGAGAAAATAAGGTAAATAGAGGGCTGGTTTGAGTTAATGGAGTTGGGTTGGGATGTGTGGATGTAGATAAGGAGAAGAAATGGGCTCGTGTAGAGGGAAAGAAGAGACGAAGAGTGCTACTGTTGTGGATTAGTGGATGTAGGTAGAAGTGTTGGGTTGTTAGTTGTATATTGCAATGACAACAGTTGAGGGATTTTCCGGTTGACTTTGTCAGCGCAAAGCCTTTTGTTAGCTAAGATGGACTCAAATATGTCCCCTTAGACGAACATTCACCCCAAATCTACAAGGTACCCTTGGATCCCATGGCTACCGACAATGATCCTTCGGTCAAGTTAGGTCGACTACCTCCTCTGACTAAGTAGACTAGGGATCATGATGACTCGAGACGATGGAACCATGGGATCTTGATCGGGTTCATCATCATTCCCCCACGACCTGCTTTATGTGTGCGGTGACAAAATTTCAATTTTCAATATTTAGTTTTGTTGTATTTTGTTGCTACTATACGTTGGATACTATGTATCTGTTCAACAACTAGCCTTAATCGAAAGTTTTCTCTCATCATTGGGAGGGGTAATTAATTATAGGTGTTTGCGCCTATAAGAAACTAGAACTTAGATCATAAAGTCCTTTCAAAATGAGGGCGAAATCTCTAGGTATTATCTTATCTAAAGTCAAATATGTCTTCTGAAAATTTATCCCGTAACTTAAACTCGTTAAAACTCTCCTGAACAACATGAAAAAGAAAGTTTGGACCCACAATGAATTGAACTCTCATGCAAATCATTGTATTTTTTGCATCTTGATTTGCTTGCCACGTCGCCTCAAAATTCTTGCCGATTTTGCATTTTCGCTCGTGCAAGGACCCATACAATATCACAACAATTTTGTGTATTTTCAACATTCAGGACAATACGACGAGGTCTGTTTTGCGAACGAACGTTGTGCAACATGACTTTTGTAGACCGTTGATTTCGACTGCCTTCACTCAATTCATCTGCAAGGGGCCCCCCTTAGATAAATTTAATGCTTTGATTGCTTTGGCGCAGTCCGTTAGATGATCAGAGATCATTTGTGCAGTTTTGTGCCGCATTCTGCTCGCCAACAGTCGTGATTGTCATCATTTTATAATTGAGTTACTTACAAGTTACTCTTCTTTGCTAAATTCGATATCTCAAGCGTATCGGTGCAATCCGTTTTATAATCAAACGATGTTTGAGTAGCTTTGAAAGCGATCGGGGCATCTCGATGCTCGTTACTAGTGACATGTCCACTAGTCACCGCCCCTGGTGGACTCTATTGGATTTGACGCGTATATAGAGATCAATAATGTAGCTGACCCGACGTAGTTGTAGAAAGGCTTGATGTTGTTGTTTGAAATTTTATTACTTGTCTATTTATTTGTTTTGTAATTTATTATTAGTTAGTTTAGTGCTCTTAATTGTGATAAAATTTGATACGTTGAAGCTATGATTTATAAATTATTCATTTGCTTGTTGATTTTATTTGTTTACAAAATTTTATTGAAATTCTTCATTATTTAATATCATTTCATCATCAATTGACTTAAAGACTACTATTATGTGTTTTTATTTAAAGAAAATGAGCTAATGGATTAATTGATATCTTGTAACTCATGAATTTTTATACGTTGATTTCAAAATGTTCATTTATTTCAAAGTTGATTGCATTCTTCATCTTTTCAGCACATTCCTATATTGAATCCTCTTGCATTAGAGGATGTTAGAGGCTCTGTTTGTGGTCAATATTGTGATGGAATTTGAAAAGTAGACTAATGAATTTGGCATGAGTTGTAATTATTGTAAAATGAAAATGGCTGCTCATTGTTTTTAGAACTTTACTAACTAAAACATCTTTTGCTCCAACATGCTGCAAAATATAGAACATTTTCCATCTGCAAAATTCTTGAATTTTTTGTAGTAATTTAGGCTTCGTTTGGGACGGCTTTCTTCCTGCTTCTTAAAACAACTTTTTAGTACAAAAATTAAAATTTTTGCACTAGAAAGCTGCTGTAAGAAGCAGTAAAAAAGCCGCCCCAAGCGAAGCCTTAGTTTTTATCTTCTGGATATGCATGGTGTACGTTTTCTCAACATTTTGTTTCATGGAAAATTTGGAAAGTTAATATCTTTCGTCGAACTTTCAAGTCAAGACCATCACACACAGTTGAGGAAAAAGCTGTATGTTCCTCGAGTTGAAGACAAGAATAGTAATATGAGGATGCTACACATCTCAACGACTGAAGATCTGATAGCGAGTTCGATGAATATATTTGAACCATCTCCAACAGATGCTAGTGGAAATCTTCGTGAGGATGGTAATTTTCTTTTGCAGTTCAATTTTTTCATAAATGGCTGGAGAAAATAGCTGATAGATACTTTAACATTAATTTTTTATTTTGCTTTTACAGCTATGCTTGCAAGCGAGCCGGTTGATATTTTTCTTTTACCTGGTAATGACTCGTCTATGAAAAGCTGGTTTGATATTGGCAGATTTTTAATTATCTTTTATTATTCTTTTTCAGGTGTTGCCTTCGACAGGCAGGGACATCGTCTTGGCCGTGGTGGGGGGTGAGTTTAGAATTTTCATTATCTAACATTGAAGTAAATTTTACAGAATCATGGACTTCTGTTTTAAATCACTTGGATGGAACCAATTGAACTATTCTTCATTATTCCTCTGTTTGCAAACTAACGATATCCGCCAACTCCCCTCCTACCTTGGGGGTGAAACAGAATCCAGTTCGAACAAGCTAGTTTTGATTCTAAAGCAAGCCTATTAGTTAAAAAAATAAATAATAAAAGCTAAATTCGTTGTATTTCTTTTTTAACTAATTTAGAATATTCTCTGGAAAGCAATATATGTATATATAAATTCAAGGTGAAAAAGCTAGTTTCGATTCTAAATCAAAGAAATTTATCCATGCCTGTTTGTAGAGATGAGCTTTCTCTTTCTTAGTAGAGGATCAAAATCTTCCACAATTTTGATTTCAATGATATTACATTCAAATATAAGATCATAACAATATTTTTTTAACATCATTAAATCTAGTATAATTTTTTTTTAAGATTATTAGATCTTCAGTTAGATGCATTCATGTGATGATATGTGAAGATGATTACACTTTCAAAGTATAGTGCATCCATGTGATGGTATGTGAAGATTAATTAATTACAATTTCAAAGTATAGTAACTTTCAAATGTCTTGTAATTACATATATGTCTTGTTGATATTTAGAATGTATTTTATAGTTTTGATTGGCTAAAGACTTGGATAAAACAAATTAGGAGGGTGTTTATATGTTCGATCTTCTTTCAAATAGTTGAAAACAGTTTAAATTGTTATGTTGGTAAATAATTTTTATGTTGTAAATCACAATCTTGAGTTTGAAAATTATGCAAAGAATTAGATGCAAAAATAAAATGAGAAGGGAGAGAATATAGAATGAGAGATTTCAGGATTGAATTTGAATCCTTTTTTCTAGATAAGAAGTGCACGAATAGATGGAAAATTAAGTTTTAAGAAAGGACTAAATCTGAAAATCAATGTTTTGTTATGGAATCCAAGATTAACAATACAACAGATGAAATGTTGTCAATGAAAGTTGTTGTCTATGGATTGTTAAATTATTGTAAATGAAATGATGAATGCCACATATGGTTATTTTTTCACTTTTCCTCAAGCTAAGTTGCATATGTTGATCATGCCCAACTTGTTTATTAGGTTATCAAAACTCATTATGGGTAAGTGTCAATTTATGATTTAAAGTGAAAGAATTTCATATTTATCAAATTCTAGACATTTAAATGAAAATCTAATCACAAAAAACATAAAATTAAAATCCATCCACACTTCGCAACAGTTTGGCGAGGATGATGAATTAAAGAATAACTTCAGCTCACAAAGAGCGGATTTCTTGTGAAATGTATTACTGTAATTCATTCTCAGTTGATTCATCATCAACAGAGACATGACATGTGCCTCTGACTAGGTGATTTTGCTGCAAAATAAATCACTATATTACGGTCACGGCCAAGACATATATGTTCCCTAATGATTAAAAATCCCTTTAGTAATGAATTATAGGGTGCATGCTATAAGATATAAAGCCATTTATTAGCTAATGTTGACTTAAATTCACCACCTTAAGCAAACATCCACCCCAGGTCTATAAGGTATTCTTGGACGAAGCAACTTATGGCTGCCAACAAGATTCCTTCTGTCAGGTTGGGTTGACCAACGATCATGATAGCCTAGGATGACGGAACCATGAGATTTTGATCGGACCCTTCATCATTCCCCAATTAGTCACTTTAAGTTTATGGTGATGAATTTCAAATCATGTGCTCTAAAATTCAAACCCTAAAATTGTTGCTACTATACACTAGGTAATTGCTGCGACCTATTTAATGACTAGCCTTAATCAAAAGTTCTCTCTCATTCTCGGGAGGGGTAATTAACCATAGGGATTTGCACCTACGGGAAACCAGAACTCAGATCATAAAGTCCTCACAAAATGAGGACGAAATCTCTGTGTAGTTTCTTATCTAAAACCTAATCTGCCTTCTAAAAATCAACTATGAAACCTAAACTAGTTAAAACTCTACTATTAACAAAAAGAGGTGCGAAAAGGTAGGGGCACAAATTTTCGAAGCCCACGCAAACCCATCAACAAATATGTAAGAAAATGGAAAAGTATTGGTTAATACGCCATAAAAAAGCAAAAAAAAAAGATAAGAAAAGAGAATAATTAATAATGATATGAAAATATTGATTCACATAAAAAAAATAAAATATTGGATAAGGGAGGAATGTCCACCCCAACTTGATGGCAATGAGAATCAACAAGTAATAATAACACCACCTACTAGTAGGGGTGTCAAAATGGGTATTTGGGTTAGGTTTGGGTCGAACTTGAAATTGACTTGGATCCAATTTAGCTGACCTGAACCCGATCCAATTTTGCAAACGGGTTAGAATTTTTGATCGGGACCCAACCTGCCGAGTTATCTGGTTTTGCAAATGCTTGAGATTGAGCACATCTTGTACAGGCGCGGACTAAGTTGTGAACGTGAGCACAGGCACGAGCGCGATGTGGGCACCAGTCCGGGTGCATACGCGAGCGTGGCCCGCTGTGGAGGGTCACGAGTGCGGGATCCGGGTCAATTCAGGCCACCTTCGGGTTTCTAGGTCAACACAAACCTCAGCCGATTTAAAAAAAAGGGTTAGAATCTCGAACCCGAACCAGACCAGTATGATATACTGGTTTACCCAAACCTGAAATTTTCTAGGTCGGGTTAGGTATTGACACCCCTACATACTAGTATAGAATCAACGAAGACCAAAACAAGCATGCCCCACAAACCAATCAATAATGTGAAAGGTACTAAAGTAATAAGGTTGATCATCTCTAAATGATTTAAACAATAGGAAATCCCAATAGTTGTTTGCAAATCGACCAAACATAATCATGGGAATGAAACAGATAAGGAGTTACAACATCCAAAATATAAATTTAAGAATACAAAACCTAACCACCTTGCATAATAACTCCCCACAGGAGTAACATCCTACTCAAAATAGGACAATGAACATGGAGTTAACATAGAATTTCGAATACCCCATATGATGACAGACAAATATATAACCTGATACTCAAACCAGCTGACCCAAGAAGCAATCCTGAGGCAACGAAGGCAGCACAGATATCTCATGCTACCAGCCACAGTAATGGAAATCAAAATACTGGACCAGCCACAAGCATAAAATAAATCTCAAAACACATGAGTAATCCATGACCAATGCTCAAGAAACTGAGAAAACCTTATGATAATGATCCAGAAGAAAATAACAATAGCAGTCAAGCAGATAGATCGCTCGAGGACAAATATGCCATCAACCAGCCAACAAAAGATTTCCACCCTAAAGGCCAAATGCCACATACCCAGCCCAACCAAGACATCAACCAAAACGTAGCCCACCATCTTCATCCCCAGCAAATATGAAAATTGTTATGAAAAAATGCCGGAGTGACATTCCTAGGAAGCAACAATGACCAAAAATTGATGTTAGACATTATCAGGAAATTCTGCAACTCAGAACTTAATGGCTAGCAGCAGCACCAAGAATGAAGACAGCTATTGGCTTGACAGCTATCAAATCTGTGCAAATGCAACTGAGATGTAGATGTATGCACTGTTTTTCAATTAGAGGGATATTGCAAACATCACATAAATGGGAATAATAGAGGTAGCATGTCTTATACCATATCAAACTAGATTGTTGTCAACTCTGAATCAGTAAATAAGTAAATAAGGACTAATTATTCTCTGCGAATCCAAGACAGAGAAAACCGTTTGGATTTGTTGTGCTCCTTTTGTTGCACTATTGCAGAAGTACAGTAAAAGTCTAAAAATGCAACAAATATTTAATATTTACTAAATAATTGAATATTTGTTGCGCTTTTATTGAGTATTTGCAAAAGCACATTAAAAGGGCAGTAAAAACACATTCATAATTAAATATTTGCTGCTCATTTACTGCCCTTTTGCAAAAGCGCAACAAAAGAATTGTAAAAGCGCAGCAAATCCGGACGATTCCCTCCGTTCGGTGTCCGCATGGAATAATTTCTTGTAAATAAGGCACCAAAAAATACAACCACCAGGTCCACCACCTAGTTTCTAACAACTCCAGGAACACGACTAGTCAGTGAATTTGTTCTTGAGATAACTAGTTAAACCCAAAAATTGAACACAGGTGCAGAGTCAATTAAGAAACAATGTGAGCGGTGGAGAGTTCCAAAGCCCGGATGAATCTATTTTTGGTTTGTCTAGGAATAACCAAAGATATAATGACGCAGAATGCTCTGCATGGACTGACGTATTACACTGATATTTAGTTCGAATCCAAAAAATGCAAACCCAACTCCAACAAAGCACAGCAAAACAATTTATGACGTACATAACAAAAGCCCAATCCCAGGATCGTGAACTGAAGCATGTAGATGATATTAAAAGTTGGTTCAACCCTATAGGGAAATCATAAGACCGAACGAAGTATATGTTGTCATTTCATTAAGGAATACATAATTTAGATCCAACAAGTTAAAAATACAGCCATAAAATAACAAAATAACAAACAACAACATTTGGAATAATCAGCAGAGGAAAAGCATATGGAAAATAGCCAACAATTTTCACGGAAACCCCAACATCTAAAAATATTGGCAGGAGAAAATAACCTAATAGGCATCAAGGAAAAGCCAAATTAGCCATAAGCAAACAAAGAAAGTGATGTGAAACAATGTAGCAATTGTAGGAATGACAGGGAAAATTATAAAAAGTTGATTAGTATAGTAATTACAACTTATTGTTTCAGATTAGATTCTAGGAATCTGTGGGCTCCGAAAATTCGGCCTCGGCCTCCGCTCGCTCTTCTTTATTCGGCGAGGGAGTTTTAACGAACTAAGTTCCGAGGTAAATTTTGGAAGGCAGATGGGTTTGTAGATAAGACACTACCCAGAGATTTCGCCCTCATTTTGCGAGGACTTTATGATCTGAGTTCTGGTTT